GGGGGGGGGGGGGGGGTGGGGGGGGGGGGGGGGGGGGGGGGGTGAGGGCAGGAGGTAAACGAGTGACTTCATGTCCTTTCAAACCTGCAGGGTGTTGACTTGCACAAGTAGGAATAAATAAAAACACCTGGTGAACAATTCTGCATATATCAAGGATAATGACGGTTAAGCGTGTCGGGATTTTCTCTTCACGCGGCGGCGCCGTCGAGCAGTCAAGGCAGCCGACGGAAGTACGGATCTGTCACGCGCGGCGGCGGGAACTTCTTTCCGCAACTCGGACTTGGTTTCGTCCGTCTTAAAATGAACTCAAACCCTTTGTCGTCCCCGTCCCCCCCCCCGTTTCAGCTGTTGTTGTTGGGAAGCTAGTTGCTGCAGTTAATGGACAAGAAAATTTGTGAGAAACTTTGTGCCCTAATCCTATTAAATCTCTAACGTGAAGTGCCCCTCAGGGAGTAAAAAGTAAATATCGGTAGAAAACTAAAATTTGGGGGGGGGGGGACGGGGGGAGGATTTGGAACACTTTGCATGAACTTCGATGGCGTTTGTGTTGACACTGCCGTGCAGTCAGGACAGATGTCCACAATGGGTCTAAGAATAACCCTACGATTGTTCACACTGGACGTCATCTCCGAGGCTACTGGAAGTTTCCTTTCCCGTCGACTGCCATGACTCGGCTTGACGCCAAACACGCCGAAGAGAAGATCTCACACGCCGCATCTTTTAAGTATATGATATGACTAATGAGTCCGCATGACCAGTCACGAGCTGTGATCACCCCAATATGAGGTCCGATAGCACCATTATTTGTCTTTTAAATCTCTTAACTGTTAATAAGAGCGTCTAAGCCGTGGATCAAGCATATCGTGGGTAAAACCATAGGTCTTATACTCAGACGTACATGCAACAGAAGAAATTGCATGTGTACACAAAGACATATGTAAAAGAGCATGGTCAATTTGGTTTTGCAGCAGGAAAAAATTTCAGGTTGTGCTGTATTGAATGGACCAGGAAATGAATGCCTGACTGTTCTTCTCCGCACATTAATGTCGCTCATAGTATCAGGGAAGGTGGTCGAGGGAAGAAACTATCCTGAATGTGTGTTTGTGTTTGGGGAGGGGAAGGGGTTGGGAGGGTTAAATGAAAGCTCAGCATCTGATGTGTGACAATAGGAAGCTCTGGGCGAACACAAGCCTTCATGTGACTTCACACATATTCATTAAATTATTCCAGGAAAAAAAAAAAAAAAAAAAAAAAGCATCTCATTCCTCTCCCTGCACTATGCTCAGAAAAGAAAATGCGAGGGCAGAAGAACAACTCAGAGCATCATCTACTGGCCCATCATTTATTAAATCATCAATATAAGGCAACACAACTGAAATCTGGGTCATTTCGAGTTAACTGTGGATGGAGTGCCAGAAGCCCTTGAGGTTTTTGCATAAAGAAAAATAACCTGTCAGTTAGTAAAGGCTGTCACGAAGAAAAACAATGTCGGTCAAGTAACAAGTACCTCTCCAAAAAAAAAAAAATTCCAGTTCAGAAAAGGAGAACTCAAACCCAACAACTCAAGCAGATCACGCAACCGCCACCTACGACTAATCTTTCTGGAACGTGGATCCAAACCAGCCGCGTGCGTGTGCGTGTGTGCGTAAGCAAATGGTGGACTCACGACGACTAACATTAACACGTGAAATGGCGTGTGCGTAAGCAAATGGTGGACTCGCGACGACTAACATTAACACGTGAAATGGCTTCACACAGCTCTGTGTTTTTAGCTTGATGACCTCAAGACATCTTTGGGGGCCCTGTGCAGCGCGCTCTAAAGAGTATGCCGGTGTTTGCGCTAACCTAATGCTAACCAGCTGGCTAAAGGTAAAAAAAAAAATCAACAGTAATCGGAAAACAATGACAAGAAATGCCCAGCTGCTTGACAGTGACATGCACTTCGAAATGACACAGGCGTGATTTGGTGGACTTTTTGTGCAACCAGAGCTGTGTTTCTACTGCAAATGACAATTTTTTTATTTTTATTTTTATTTTTTTTTTCAAATACTATACTCAATAGGAGAGAGACAATGGTTAGCTATAATCTGAAAACGGCTAAAATACAATGCTTCACCGACAAAATGACACGGGTAGATGCACGACGCAAATGGCAAATGACTAACGGCTGCTAAGGCAAGTGTTTGGTGATGCAGTCTTGCCTGAGGCAGGGTGGTGTACGTTTGCATTCAAAGGCTCAAGCATTTCCACTCTGGGTGGCACTGAATGCAATCCTTTTCAGCCAAGAACAGGCTTCTGGTAGTGTGAAATAAAAAGAATATGGCTTCAAGTTGTATAGCATGTCCCTGTCGAGTGACTCCCTGCCAGAAAGCGCAAACACTAACAGACACAATGAATATAAACATGCAATCGAATTCTTTTTTTTTTTTGTTGTTTTTTTTTTTGGTCAGCATCCTCAAGATTACGCTCGGTACACTTCAACACGGTAGGGAAAAGCAGACCCACGAGTAGCTAACTCTCCAAACGTACAATTATTACATCATTGGTGTGAACAGTATTATCAGACAAAATGGCTTCCTCTGCAATTTGCTTCACTTGAAAATTATGGGAACGTGCCTTTAATTATAAGGCTCCGGCCTGACAAAATATTCAACGTTAAAAGTCCACCACAAAACACTACAAATACTTAGAGGAAGAGTTTCACAAATGTTCTCTCCCGGGGGGGATGGGGGGGCGGTCTTTTACATTTAAGGTTAAATTTCTGGATTCATTCACACCCGGTTTCTACCTCGGAGCATATCATGTTTATATTCACACATAAAAGATGCACACGCTTCAAACGAGAAACTTAAGTCGGCAACGGATGGCCTCTCACGGGGCATCACAATCCTATCATCTATAGTTCAGAGTATACAGATCCCTGTAAATAGTTCAAACTACAAATCTACAAGAGTTTTCAAGGCTCAACCAACACCAGCAGTCCGGTTTCTCGAGAGGAATTGAGGAGATGACACAGCCTTCGAGAACTGCAGTTGCCTTGCTACACGTTATACATGTCTGGATATTAATATAAAGTAGTAAAACAAGAATAAACAAACTAAACAAAAAAAAAAAACAAAAAAAAAAAAGGAAAATCTGTTAATGTAAAAGCCAGGACAACACAAGTGTGAGACTTATCTACTAATAGACTTGCTTCCATCCACAGAATAAAACACCTGATTGGTTTGATGAGAAGAGATAAAAGAAAGAATTATTTGTTAACGTTCAATAATGTGAATAAAGGGGATTACAGATAGAAGTTAGACAAATGCTGCAAAAACTTAACCACAGACGAAGGAACGTGGATTTCTTGCCATAATCAAATGATGCTTCGTTGCCACCCGTTGCCATGTCAACGCCGGGGAGACGGCCGGCATGGCAACGGAAACTATCATCATAAAATGGTACAGTAGTAGAAATAGCTAGACCAGGAGGGGGCGGGCTCTCCTGGGAAAAGGTCAGCGGAGAGGCCCAGTGATTGGTCATGCGGCTCGCTGTCAGGAATAATGGTTATAGGGGGGTATAGGGTGCCCGATGCCATTCTGGTAGTGATGGTGCTGACGGTGGGCAACGTACTCTGCATAACCCATGGTCATCTTCTCGCTACGGTACCTGGGAATTATACAAGAGGAAAGGTTTGGATGAAAACTGCCACAACTGATGTTGGACCTTTGGCATGCAATTATTCAGACTTTTGGGTGTTTGCAAAACACTTTTGAAATGATTTACTTGAAGAAAAAAAAAAAACAAACACCTGAGATAAGAATGTCCAACCACACTTATACTCACAGTACGCACAACTCCCATGTCTTTTTTTTCCCACATTTGAAATTCCAAAAAAGGTTTTTAAAAAAAAAAAAAACGAATGCATATTTTACAACTGATGTCCGTGGTTATCCAACTCAGCCCGAATGCCCCGGTCCCTGGCAGGATCTTAAGTTTCATCTGGGCTGTGAATGACCACCATCTATGTGCATTTTTCATTTCTTAATAATACTTACAAATGGACATTTGGTCCAATATTTCTATGTGCTTTTTGCACGATGTTCCTTGAATGTCCCAGCGCTCGGCAGAGGCAGGGTCAAAGCCTGCTACCTTCTTTGTCTGCTCACCAAACACCCCTCTCCCTCGGAGCTTTATAGTATCTCCATGGGCCCGAGACTTAGCAGGCAAAGGGGGGGGCGAAGGCTGGTCACTATCTGTGTTCTCCCATCAAACACTCTTTTGGGCCTTAGCCTGCAGTTCCTCCCAAGCCCCAAAGCTTTTAGCAGTGCCAAAGCTGAGGCTGGCTTTTTTTTATCTGTTTTACACTTATCCACGTGTCAGCTTGAGCACCGCCCCGACACACGGAGGGGGGGGAGGGCTACGACATGTCTGCAAGTAGACAATCGAGTCTGGACAGTTCTTACTCCTAATTTAATGTAAAGAACCCTGAGGTCCATTGAGGGTGTGTTTTGAATTTCAGATGTGCAATTGACTTAATGTATTCCTAGCTTTTGTGGAAGATGTTTTTGAGTTACAGGACTCGATTTATATCCGCCACGCCACCTGCTGGCGGGTGACATTCTTGATGTTAAAAATCAGAAATTGTAATAATAAACGCACAACTGTTCTTCACGTTTAAATTTTGAGAAAAAAAAAAAAAAAAAAAAAGGTTTAGGCCAAACACACAAAAAAAACAAACAATACCTCTGCAGATAACAATAGCAAAACATCTCACCTGACTTCGCCCCCTGTATTTAAGAATTGATGCAAAAATCAATGGCAACTACAGATATAAAACAGTGGTGCTGCTCTTGAGTAATTGCTGTTTAAGTAGCTGTAGAATTAACATAACATCCTGGGGTTTGTTTTTTCTCTAGTTTGTTTATATGGAATATGGGGCTGGAAGTCAGGGTTCAGAAAAAATGTTAAACACAGCAGCTGAGGTAATGGAAGAACTTATTCACTGTGTGTGACTGACCATATATTAGTACATTTTGGGATCAACAGCTGGCGTCTTGGAAAAGCTGTGACGGTTCTGGATCCACAAAGGGTTAGCCTCGGGCAGAGGTAAATGAAGGGCTAAAGGGTACTGCTGAGCTCAGCACGTTACCACATCAATTTGGTTTCCAGCTAATACCATTTTTGGGAACAGACAGTCCTGCAGCTTCCTAGGGATGTTCACTCAAGTACACAGGGGTAGTACGATACTTGTGCTCTTACCTGGTTAACTTAATGGTCTTCCTGAAGTCATTTGTGATAGGAGCTTTATAACCTCCCTTTCGCAGTAAGGAATCTATGGTTTGAATGTGGTCCCAACCTGGATGAAAGATATACTTTTGAATGCACACGTCTTTATTTTTTAAATAAACTGAAAAAGCTCCAAAGCTAAGAGCACAAAAAAAAGGTACCTTGCTCTTTTGCAACCTCTGGTAGGTAAGTGGCTGTGCGCTTTGATCCTTTCTCATTGAAAAACTCTATCCTAATACCATGGACACCCACCTAGAATTGGAAGCATGTACAATAAAGACCGGACATGTTTAAGCATACTTAGGATAAAACTCTTGATATATTTTCAATGTTCTATGAGGTAAAAAAAAAAAAACATTTTGTCAACATTCTTAAGCGATTGACTTGAAGCTGTCACCACATGTAATCAACCAAGAGACAGAAAAAGGCGGATGTACAATATTAGGAGATAAACATGTTATCTAAACTTGAAGTCAAATTATTATGTGTTGTAGGACTTATGAATAGGAACACGTCTAACCTCCCAGTCAAGGTAATCCCCGACATCTTCAAAGTTGGTGAGAAGAGACACTGAGCAGAAGAGGCGTGGCAGCTCATCCCTTGTCATAGGGGGAAAGCGGCTGTCTTTAAGGGCACTGCAAACAGTACACGTAAGGAGAAACACCATGAACTGAGCTCAAAAAAAATATTTGGGTTACTGAAAAAAAAAAATGTTGTTTACTTTACTCAAAAAAGAGAGCATGCTTTTTGCTCAATTTTGCTTTTGTTTTTTTTTTTATTGTACTGCTAAATCAGTTATATTTCAATTCTATGATGACATTTACAAAATCAAACAGCAGTATTGCTGTGGCACAAACCCAGAGCAGATTGTGTATTTGTTAGGGGCTGCATGACCTTTGCATGAAGTGGACACTAATGTAATGAAAGTTGACAAGTCGCTGATGACGCCATTTATATTTATGTGTGTGTGCATGTATATATATATATATATATATAAAATATATATATATATACATATATATACACATATATATACATATATATACATATATATACATATATATACATATATATATACACATACATATATATATACACATATATATACATATATATACACACAATACACATATATACTCTTTTCTGTTTCTAACGCCTTCGCTTAGGCTAGATGTCAATTTGTAAAGAAATTGGGAAAGAAAACAACATACAGAAAAGGTCTTCAAGTCAAGCCCAGTCACCCTGACAGTTTGACTTCATCTGAGCTTCGGCAACAGCTTTTTTTTTTTTATTTGCGTGTCAGAGCAAAAACAGGGTGAAGGCTCGCTTAGTGTTTCATCTTGTGCTTGGCACAGAGACAGCCGAGCAACATTTGGGCAACTTGGAATTTGTGGGGTTTTTAAATTACGAGCCTCTTCATACTCCATCCACTCACCAGTTACTACAAGAAGCTCGGCCTCCTATTTCTTCCTGTGATGTGTTCAAGTTGGCGGCAAAAACATCAGCGACTCGTCAACGTCCAGCTCTAAACATCATTGTTGAGTAGTAAAGTGAACTAGTTGACTAGTCTCTACAACCCCTGGTATTTTTTTTTTTTTTTTTTACACAGTTGCAGTGCATAGTTTGGAGGAGGTTGGTTTTTGCAAGTGTATGACTGGTAATTCGTCATCTGCCCTGGGGTCATCTAAAGTGCAGTACAAATAGTTTCGAGTGTGCCAAAGTCTTGTTGGACAGCCCTTCAAACAACCCCCCAGTGGCAATTTGCATACTTACGTAAACTAGGTCCATAAAATGTTTGGGTTTTTTTGTTGTTTTTTTACTAATTTTGTAGAAGACAAAAGTTGATCAACAACGCCGTCTTGTAAAAAGAATTTTTCTAAAGACACCAATGCAGAGAATAAAGGAGATACATGGTGAGACATAAACGATAGCTTCCAGGTTGAAAAAAAGCAATCATGACAGTTGTGCAGAAGGAGTCAATATCTACCTAGGGCTGGGCAACATGTCCAGTTTTTAAGATGTAAAATGAGACTATAAAATTTGATATGTACTCTTGCCCTAAAATGATATACAATCACACTACGTGACAACACAGAAGAGGAGGAAACGTTAGACAGTTAAAAAAAACTTTTAACCATGGTTTTTTTGTCAGTAATTCGGGTTAATAGTGTTGGATGAGCAGAAAAATAGTGTTTTTGAGATAACATATTGCCGAGCCCTACATCTACTACTACCGTTTACAAAAAAAACTAATGTTTAAATTGGGGTAACATTTAAAAAAAATACTCCTAAAAACAGTTTTGTCAGAACCTCATACTAGAATTCCTAAAACTGGAACTGTACCTTTATTTCACTCAGCAATCATTGTCCACTTGATATTTGACAGTACAGTATTACTACATTTCTCTAGATATGAGAGCACACTGGTTTTGCTCTCATTTTACAGTAGAAAGTATGTGTATTTACAGCTCACTTTTCTAAAATATATCAATAAAACCAAACACAAGATTGAGAAGAGCACATTAGACAAATTACAGCAGGGGGGAATGGATTCTCTAGACAGCAAGGAATCTGTGTGATTCATTTAAACACATTGTTATTGATTTTTAATTACTGACGAAGTAACGCATTTAATAATAAATGGTTTAAATTGGTACTTCCCGAGTTACCTAATTCCCGATACAATAAACACTGATGTGCCTACTCCAGACCAGTAGGTGGCACCTAAAGTACATTTGGCAGCTACAGAGAAGATTGTTTGCATGACCAGAGGCTCTAGTTTAGCCATGTTTACTGAACCTGTAGAGTGAGTTTGGTTACACCCAGTATATTTCATTAGCCAAATGATTAAGGAACCTACAAGATGAGGTGCAGACGTTACAAGTCTAAGATATCTCAACAACTGATTGGTTCAACCAAGCCCGTTGCTGACATTGTAGATGCCAAAGTTTTATTAATTTAATCAACTATGATTTTTTTTTTCTAAATGAATTTATAATCGTTCAAGAGACATTCGTGATACATAAAAAAAACAATTATCGGAGTTCAATGATCAGTGATGGAAGACGGCAGCATAGCTCTGCTGCACCAGTTCGAGCTTTCGTTATTTGAAAACTGTTGGGAGCGTGGACATACAAGCTAACATCAGCTACAACAGTCTTGGTCATGGCAAAGGATGTAGCCTTCTCACAATAGACCAGATGAGAGCTAAATAACAGGGATGCACCAAATATTCGGCCACCAAACGGATAAAACAGGAAGTTATGATGACGCAAGCAAAAACCCCAAAAAGTATTTTTAATTTATACTTTATCTGTGATTAAGCATTCAATGTTTCATTGTTTAAAATGAAAATTGGAATATGTGGCTTTGCCATCTTTTGTTCCTGTTTCTTGGGATATTTAAGGGATTTTAGGACCATATAGCCCAGTCATACAGTTTGACCTACGCCACAATTTTACAAAAAGTGTGCTCTGTCTCAGCTTTGTGGGAGGAAAACCCAGTCCGTACTGTTTACTCACCTGGTAAGGGTGTACTCCCTGAGTCCTGAGTGCAGAGTCATGGCAGAAAATGTACCTATACAACCCCTCAACCGTTTGTCTCTGCCTATTTTCCATGTGACAAACAGTGGACTGGAAAACAAGACAAGAGAAAAATTACTCTACAAGTGTGAATGTAACACAGGCATCACAGTTCAATCTGTAATCTGCAATCCACAATAAGAACATTGCTGTTAAGTAAAAATCTAGATAAAGCTATCAAATACCTAGTTAACTTCATCAATGAGTAGGTGTTTAAAGGGCACTGTGGGCTCGAGCCTGGGTTTAGGGTTTGCCATGAACGATAATTTTATATAAATATTTTTAAGGGATACATTTTCCCACTTCAAGTATTTTGAAGTAAAAGAAGCACAACTTTAGTTTTTTATAATTAAGAGAAAATGTACTTGATTAGCTTTAGTATTTTATCATTGTGATTTTGTCAGACAATTAACCTTTTTTTTTTTTTTACTTTTCCAAGAACCCAAAGAACTTAAGAAAATAAAAAGAAAAGAAGCAGGTTGTGGTCTGGTGTGAATTCTCCAATGGACATACTGCTTGGATAAATATTTGGGCTCAACTGGATGGGTATGAATGGAGGATATGTAATGAAATTATGTTGTTATTGTCGCCAAAACCTCCACCCCCATCTGTCTTTGAACTTTTTGACTTGAAGTTTTTAATTAACATTTGAACTCGTGACTAGGGAAGCCTAAAGTACTAACAAATGTCATATTTTTAATTGACTTCTTAAGAGAGGTTGTGCTAGCTGTACGTTTTTGGCTAAAAATGGTTGTATATTTTAAAGCTTGGCATTTCCACAACATTACACAATATAGTGTCATTTGTGCAGTTTGGGCTTGTGCATTTAAATAATATCAGTGGGACCCTTGGTAACATTTCTGTGCAACTTTTCCTATATACAGTATATATAGGTTCGGAAGTAGTCTGCTTTGTTTGTAATTGTACACCAACCTTATAGAATGCAAGGAGGAGGGTAAAGAGTCACATGCTATCGCATTACAACATTCGTAAAACGATTCAGCGGCAAAGTCCCTGTAGAGGGCGCAGTCTCACGTTCACTATGGATATATATTAATTAGTTAATAACATGATCAATTAAGTCGCAATTATTTAGTCTAGCATACATCTTCATTATCTCAATGACATAAACACTGTTTTTTTTCCAAAGATTTCCCTCTGCATTTCATGATATTTTGGGCTAAGCGCTTAACGCGAACCACCTTTTTTTATTGTTCGACGTTTAAGTCACTGACAATTCTTTCAATAGTAAACACACATTAAAACACAACGTGCCTTACATGTGTACTTAATCGGGTATCTTTTTAAACAAATTCAACAGGTCTAATGTTAAAGTATTTCATAAAAACCGATGGAGTTCCCTTGCCAAGCTACTGTAGCTTGGGGCTAACAATGCTAAGCCTATTATGTGAAAAACCGGAGTTCAATTAGGCTAACTCGTCAAATGTAAAACTTGAAAACAACAGTTTCACAAGATCAACTGAGAACACGTAGACATTGTATCCACATATAAGTATTGACAAAAATAGTCAAAATAGAAAGATGACACTTCTTACAGTCTTTCTTACAGACATTAGCTTGTAGCTAATATGATAGGCTAACGTGAACCAGTGTTTTCTGGTGTTCAGAAAACTCGTTAAATGTTAATTATGATTAGCACCAAACAGAAAGCCACGCATTAAAATATACACCATATAGATAACTGAATTTTGACACTACAGTGTCATGACAAACCATTCTTTTGAGCCTCAGAGTAAAACTAATGAAGCTACAGGCCGATACAGACATTCTCTACGACGAGGCCCAAAGTTCTAACTTGAACAGAACAAGTTGTGAAGGCAAGATTTCTGCTTAAATTTCTTAAAAAGTCCCTCTTTTTATAGTGTGTCAGTCCGTGTTCACAAACAGGAAAGAGACTGGGTATTTAAAGAGTTACCAGGTGAGCTGCGGCAGATTTATGCCGAGAGGATATATGAATGAGGTTTGACATGCAGTAAAACAACAAAGAGCTGAAAACAATACTCACTAGGGATCATTTGTAAACCTGGGTGTTCTCGGAGGTTGATATCCGTACAGATGGCAATAAAGCACGTCAAAACAGAAGCAGCACATCTCCGCTGAAACCACCATTTTTCTGTTTCCACTTCCAGAACCAGGTCCCGGGCTAAGATTCGGGGCGAGGCCGGATGAAGTGTAACCGGCCGGGACTGGGGACAGGGCGTTCGTCCCACTGCTACCACCGACACTATTACTACTAGTGCCACTAACGTTACCCCCGGGTCCCCCCAGGCCGTTGGCTCTGCTCACATTAGTCGCTGCTGCAACAGTCGCCGAGGAGCCAATCCCCAACTCTGAGCCACAATGTCCGGTTCCTGCCACCCCGCTTCCCGCCCCCACCCCGCCGGGACCCCCCGACCCGGGCGATCCCGACAGTTTCTGCTTCTTCACCCCGCAGCACCCGGCCGCCATCTTGGAACAATCTGCACCGACACACCGCTTCCGACCCATAACCGTCACCGCGGGAAGGGTGGGGGGGAACGCCGACCAGACGTAGAAATCCCACTGCGCCGATTCGTATGACGGACAATTCTCCACTTTCACGCTTTTTATTTTTTTTGTCAGGCGACGAAATAACCAATATGGTGAGAAGACTGCAATGTCACCCAAGCGTTGCCTTTCAAAACGAGCGACTTTGCTACGCAAAATCCATGACTGGATAAATCATTTTTGAGTAGTCAGCCAGTCAAGCTTCGGTGTTGGATCGCCGATTTGGTCAACTCCTGCAAATAGTCACTCCTTCTCCCCTAGCACGACACCAAGGGAGGCGACCAGTCAGTTATTCTAAAACATACAAGTTAAGGTCGTACACAGGTCCTAACAGGCCGCAGATGACAGCGGACAGTCGGTCCAGATGTGAAGCCAACAGCCAGTGCGCTGAAGCCCCGCTGCACCCCTCTCCAAGTGGAAGCCGGGAGCTTGCGTACGCAGGACCCATAAGCTTCAGCACAAATTGCGCACGTCTTGGTCAGCGTAGCTTCTCATTGCACCAGCATTGGTTGCTTTAGCATCAGCTACACGAACTTCTAATTACACAACAGGCCCAGTATGTTGGAATTCCAGACAGTGGGATAACGCAGAGAAAAACAGCATCTGAAAATGCGGGGTTGGCATGGCTTAATGAACCGCATCAGCTGCGCCGAGCAAGTCATTTCAGTGACATACAGGCCACAGTTTGCACCTGCATCAAGTCTTCTCTTGGACCTGGCAAAATCTCTATAAACACCCCCCCGCGTCAGTCATAGAGCTGAAAGTTTTCAATACAGGTTTGTTTGCAGGCTGTCATCCGTTTGTAAGGAGACATACAGATGATCTCTCTTGTACGTCAGCCGTAAGAAATTCTCCGGGTTCGGTAACCCCCGCTCCGCAGTAGCCTCTCAGCTGCTACCACGCAACGCTGTGCGGGTAAAAGCCCTGTGATCAGTCTGTGGGCACAGGCAGCGGAGTCGTCGGCACGCCGGAACCGGATTCAGAAAATGTGTTGCGCCCACTTGCTACACATTGTGCGTAGCTTCTGAGGGTATCACGTTCTCTGCCGGGAAACAGGCGCGTTCCCGACACTGACACAGGCGTATGTGCATTAAAAAAGTATCACTAAGTTATAAAAAAACATGACCAGAATGGACTAGATTAGAACTTGGCACTGCTGCCTGTGACTGCTCTAAAGCTATTTAGAAGAGTCTTTGATCTGCCCTTCATCGTACACGGTTGTCATGATGAAAAAAGGCACAAACTGGGATATTATTTTTCAGAGTAGGGTGGTAAACGCAAAGAATTATCTTTTTTCTAAATATGAAAAAATATTTCTTGATAACATTGACTATCTTTATATACTGCAGAGCGTAGTGTAAGAGGAACAGAAAACAGAAAAATTGACAAAAAATAAATCTCTGCAACAAGATCCCTGTCTTCTTTAGACATGTCTTGGAACTAGTGTAGTGTAAGAGGAACAGAAAAATTAACAAAAAATAAATCTCTGCAACCAGATTCCTGTCTTCTTTAGACATGTCTTGGAACGTAACATATTTAAATGCGCAGTTTTGGTTGAGTTGAGGTTAAGGTGATGTGACAAGTGATCTACAATCTCACAGATAGTAAGATCAGTAGTGTAATATACGGTTTAATTCTGGTTGAAATGTTTACAATTGAATCATCTTAATTATCACATTTCAGTAAACACATGAAATACCAAGTATCAATTCTTTGGTTATTACATTTGCTTTGACAGTAGTCTGCTTCAAAACCCCCAAATTAACTATTTTTAAGTCCAAATAGTGAAATGCATATTCTAATTATTATTTAATCCACCCCAAAGAGCCTTCACAGTTAAGGTGGAATTTCATCTTTAAGTGTTACATGGCAGAGTAGCGAACAAAAACAAGTGTTCATGCATAAAGAAGCAAAGAACTTAAAGCTTAAACTAAACTGAATAGCTGGACTGAGAATATGTTGGCTGTCAGGGCAACGTTTTCTTTAAGATTCAACCTTAAATTCATAGTTTGGCCCTGCAGCAGTGCTGTTGCAGACTGTTGTTTTTGGTTAAATTTGGAATTCCCTATTGCCACAGAACTGCTTTTGAGATACCCTGTGCCTAGCAATGTATGAAATTCACTGTCATGTAATGTGATGACAAGTCAAACAACAGAAATATGGTTTTATATCAGTAACATGTATTTTATTGGCAGGCATCTATTATTGTTAGTCAAAATACTGGACTCAAATAAATTAATTCACTGAAGAAATGCACAATTATGCTTATTTTAGAATCTCTGTAGAAAAGATTTGAACGTCACTGTGAATTGAAACGTTAGTCCCTCAGACTTACTTCTATGCATGACTCTCTTTATCCCGTAGAGGTCAGTGTCGTAGTAATAGCGGTACAAAACGACGCCACAATAACGCAAAGAAGAAGCAGTCGTTGGGCGGAGCTGAGAGTTTGAAAGTGGCGGGCAGTGACAACATTCACAATCTCTGCTGTCGGTCCGTATACGCTGACAAAGACCTAAAATATTTAAAAAACCTTCTAAGTGAACGTTCTTATTCTGTTTGTGAGGCATTTTACTCTGTATTGTACGCGAGGGCCACAGGTGTCGTGGCACTGGAGGAAACATATAACAAGGTAAATTTGAATTAAACGAATCGCTAATAACTGCATCTTATCTTGTCTGCTACTCAGCTGCTAACATCATCGGAACGTGGTTCTCATAACGGTTCAGTTAAAAATGAGCTTATCCACTTCGCCATTGTTGTTAAGTCGATTAAATGCTCTTAAACTATTATAAACAATGCAAGCTTAAGCTTATTTGTGCCTTCATAAAATAATTTCGTCACCGTGTATATATGTATAAGTAGATATATCTAAAAGAAAGTTTGTTGTCTGCGTTGCAAAATTATTGTTCGAGTTTTCAATTGATTCCCAGAGTTCCTCGATTGAAAGTAAAATAAATATTAAGACATCAGGCAGTCCAACGTCCATGGCGACGGTGCTGCGGAGGCATGTTTTGATTAACCAACGAGTTTTAATTTACAGTGGTCGTTATAAATAGTAAATGATCTACAGCATCTTCATCGCTGCCTCCTACAGCTTAGCTTTTTGTCCACTAAACACAGACATACGTCATAGCAGGTCTCACTTCTGACTTATGAATCTTCCCTTTCAGCTATGCTGCTGTTCCTTTGTCAGTATTTAAACGTATCCACCTTTACTACCTCTGCCCCTGTATTCCCCTGTAAACCTCCACCTCTCCAGCTTTTCTTCCACCTTCTCCTCAGATGACAATACCATCTGCAAACATCATGGTCCATGGAGCCTACTGGCTGACCTAATTTATCATTGGTCAGCGTAACACAAATGCTCCCTTTTTTTATTTTAAACATTTCGAACAGCTGCTGTTTAGACAGATCATGTTAAACAGGCTTGCCGTTTTCAGCATTTTTATTTAGGTCAGTGATTGTGTTTTGTGGCACAATAGCGGTCAGGTGACAGGTGTGAAAGCAGGACAACTGATCCTGTGTTCAACAAAACTCCAAATTGGAGTTTTGATATAGTATATGTGGTCTTTTATGACAAAGATCACATATATTATATCAGGCATGGCCAACCTGTGGCTCGGGACCCACATGCGGCTCTTAGCCCGGTTTCATGCAGCTTTTTACGTTCATGTTGTATTTTATGTTATGTTAGTGTTGTTTTGGGGCTCCTGCCGATGGACGTGGACGCAAATTACTTAGGGAAAATTAATTTTATGAAGGGATGGGACAGTTTGTGTGTGCCCATGTATGGCTCTTTGCAGTAACATGGTAAAAATTGTGGCTCTTCGCCTCTTGACTGGTTGGCCACGCCTGTACATTATGAACACAATATGAAACTGCAGTACTTGGAATGTGTCAATTTGACATTTCTTTGGTATTAACCCTCATCCTGCCTGTGTTTTCATAGACGTTTTAAAACATGTCAAATGACGAGGCTAAGGTGATCCCAGTGCGGGTTGCTCTAAGATGTCGCCCTTTGGTAACGAAAGAAATCAATGAAGGATGTCAGTGCTGCCTCACTTTTGTCCCGGGGGAACAACAGGTATGTGATCATCAGTCCCAGAAATCGTTTGGCTCAGTTATACTTTCATATCATTCATATCTACATTGTTTACCTGGACTCTGCCGTTTTTAACGTTTGTCTTGTGTGCTTACAGGTCATAGTTGGCACAGAGAAGGCTTTCACCTACGATTATGTGTTTGATCCCACTGCCGAACAAGAAGAAGTCTACAGCACAGCAGTGTCCCCATTACTCTCGGGGCTCTTCAAAGGTAGGTCCTGAATCATGACTTGCCGTAGTGCCAGTAAGATGGCATCCTTTCTAACCCAATATCACATAAGTCATTTATCATTTCAGTATTTCAGGTGCTTACATTTCTAGCCTTATACCACTAGACTAGATTAAAAAAAGAAAAATTTAATGAAATGATGAAAATAGGTCACAAATAAGTTTCTTTCAGATTCAAGACAAGGCTGTTCTTCATTAATTCTTCATCAAAAGCGCTTCATATTTCACTTTGTCTTTCTTACAGACATCTTTGTGAACTGACATAACAACTTGAAACTTAAAGATTGTAGTTACTATCCCGGCTGGGTGTCATATTTATTTCCTACGTCGATTCGATTTCAGTTCATAGGGTTACAAATCAATTGGTCACGATTCGATCTGCTCTTAAATAATGAAGATGGCTGAACTGTGTTGCAGAATACAAATGTATTTTTCACATAAACAACAGTGCAAAAAGCAATAAAAAAAGTGCTTTAAAATTGGTGACAGGTTAAACTTGTCCTAGTTATTTTATTTACATTTTGATAACCTTTCTTGTTTCTTTTTAACACCTAATCATTAAATTGCTTGTTTTCAAGGTTACAATGCCACGGTTCTCGCATATGGACAAACAGGATCGGGTAAAACCTTCTCCATGGGAGGAACATACACCTCAGCTCAGGAGAATGACCCTTCAGTTGGCGTTATCCCACGAGTCATCAGGAAAATCTTCGAGGAACGCGAAAGCAAACAGGACTGTGAATTCTGTCTGGCTGTATCTTATTTGGAGGTTGGTGCATTATCTGTATGACATTGATATGCATTTTGTGTGGATAACAAAATGAACTTTTTTTTTTTAATTTTTTCTTTTTTTTAAATACCCATTTTCATTCAACAAAGATCTATAATGAAGATATATTGGACCTACTGCATCCATCTAAGGATAAACCTTCCATCAGTATACGAGAAGACCCCAAAGAAGGCATTAAGGTACAGTATGTGGCTCTTTAAAGTCGATGCAATTTAAGGATTTTAGAAATGTTCCTTTGTTTACCAGTAGAAACTGTTTATATATATATAAAAAAAAAACGGTTAGAAACTCATTTTATACTCTATATTTTCAGATTGTGGGATTGACTGAGAGACAGGTGTCATCTGCCAGTGAGATGGTTGGCTGTCTGGAGCTTGGCAACTCTGCACGCACTGTGGGCTCAACAGCGATGAACGCGGCCTCCTCTCGATCACACGCCATTTTCACCATCACACTGGAGCAGCGCAAAGGAACAGACAAGTGCTTGATTTAAATATTCTTATTCTTATTTTTCATTCATTTAGCTTTGTAAAATACTAGTATGATGAAGTGTTCAAATACCTAGTTGAGAAGTAGTGCACCCACCTGTCAATACTGTGTCTTTAACTGTATTTTAGGTCTCTGATGCCTTATTTCTTTAGATCAGTGGTCCATTAAATTCAAACCCCCAAGCTAGCATGATGAACAGAAGACAGTCTTTGTAATAATTGAGTTCAAATGTGCGTTTATGGAGACAATTCTCTACAGTTGCACGATTGTTTAGTTTGGGCTTAAATCATGTCTTTTTAGACTCCAATAAGGTTATGGATGCAAACCTTCTCTGTTTTCTTGCAGAGTTGACTCCGTGGTTTCCAAGTTGCACCTTGTAGATCTGGCTGGTTCAGAAAGACAAAAGAAAACCAAAGCTGAGGGAGATCGTTTAAAAGAAGGTACACAAACATTTTTGTTTTCACGTACTTAACAGTTTCAAAACCCGCAACGCACTTTCTTGTTCTTTCCAGTATGTGCTCCCGTCGACGTTATTGTAGATTTATCCT